TTTTTTTTTTTTTTTTACTGTCTCCTGCCTCTACCAGGTCCAGATTCCAGGTTGCACTGGAACATTAACTGACTCTTTGGTAGGGGATCCACACCTGAAACATCTCCGAAGTCTTCCCAGCATCCTGCCTGTGGCCTACTACATAGTATGTGATAAATCAATGTTTGTTGAATTAATTAAATGTAGGTATTACCTACTTTCAGGGCTGCCCATCGTAATGCCTGGAACAGGTGTTTAATAAATAGTAGTGAACTTAAACTATAAATATTGATCAACTAAGACATAAACATGTTATATATACCTCTTATGTTTCATGTCATCTTTTACTTTTTGTATTCTGTGTTGTAAACCTTCAGTCAAATATTGTTTCTAAATATAATGTCCAGAATGGGACATATGAACTGCCATTGGAAAACACGCATATACCAGGTTATATCATCACTCTGTTTCTGAATCACCATTTTCCTTATCATGATTTGACTTCAACTCACCTTTCTCCTTTCTTCCATCTTCTCCCTTACCCTGGCTTCTAGCCAAACTAAGTTATTTGACATTCTCCACTTGAGCCACAACCTTTTCTCTTGTATACTTTAAAAAATTCCTACAGTAGAGTCTCTTGGAATGTCTTTCTCCTTTCTTCCTCCACCCCACTCTTTTAAACCAGCTTAAATGCTCCCTGTCCCACTCGTCCTGTCTCTCTCTCTCTCTCTTTCTTTCTGAACTATATCTTCTCCTTTTCTCAAACCCATGTTTGAATTCTATCCGTTATTGTATCTCCTGCTCATTTGCCACCTCTCCCACAAAGCCTTCCCCAGTTTCCATCTTCTCTCATTTCAGAGGAGAGCTCTTCCCTCACAGAGTGCCCGATTATCTCAGGGAGACTGGTTCCAGGGGACCTCCTGACTACCCTGGATATCCACAGATGCTCAAATCCCTCATATGAAATGGTGTTGTATTTGCTTATAACCTACACACATCCTCCCGTATACTTTAAATCACTTCTAGATAACTTGTAATACCTAATACAACCTAAATGTTATATGAATAGTTGTTACACTGTATCATTTAGGGAATAATGACAAGGGCAAAAAATCTGTACATGTTCAGTACAGATGCAACCATCTATTTTTTCCCCCAAATATTTTTAATCTACAATTGGTTGAATCCAAGGATGCAGAACCCACAAATACAGAGGGCTGGCTATATATGTGTTTCCAATATCAAGTTCATGCATGAAGCTTACATTGACTTTCCTTTCCCAACTGAATGCAGCATTTCAAACATACCTTCATCAGTTTTTCTGGGACAAAGTCATCCTAAGAAATCTTAAGAATGTTTGAAACATTCTAGCTTGAGTATTCAACTCTTCTAGTAAATCAGATAAAGCAGTCATTGTGTCTGAAGAGTCCTATTGGGGTAGCAGGGGTGGGGTTGGCTGTGGTGGCAATTTTCAGCATGTTTTATATCATATTAAGGGGTGGGCCTATATTTTAGGCAATAACTCTTATTGATAGGTGAACTTGTGTTTTTGATTCATCCACTGGCTATAAACCTTATGATAGATAACTAGTTTACATCTATTAATCATGTATATTTCTTGTGTGTCATTTGATGAGCTGACTTGGAATATATATTCACAATTTTCCCTGCCCTTACTTATGAAAAAAGGTTTGATACAGCTTTTTCATAAGAGAATAATAGCTTTTCTAGGGCTAAGATGTGTGTGCATGATTTCTCAACTTTCATTTTATTCAATGCTTACTCATCAAGTGCTTGCTTAAAGCTTCCTGAGTCCTGTACTTTTTTCTCTCTTCTCCTTCCTTCCTCCCCACCTCTTTCCCCACCTTCTGCCACTCTAGATCTCTGTCCTTAGATTCCCCCAGTCTTTGTGGAGGAAAGACTGTGTACCCAAAGGACACAGATTCATGAGTTCACTTCTGCCCATTGTCTAGTGCTGTTGGGACCAAGAAAAGGAAGGAGGGACAATTGAGATGGGGAGTTGAGAAAAGGGTTTGTTAGTAAAGAAAATGAGAACAAGCACTAACAAAATGCAGGTGGTAGCAAAACTTAGATGACCTCAAACTTCAGACAGCGAAGCAAATTCTTTTCCTTCTTGGGTTACCTCTTTTGACCCTGCCCACACGCTCCCCTTCCCTCCCATCCTGATGGGGACTGCAGGAAGACCTGTGTCCATGCCAGGGAGGAAGGTCAGGGAACCAGGGCTCATCAGCTACTCTGCGCTGCCATGGGGTTTGGAATTTATGGAGGTTACATGGTTAACCCAGTATCTCGGTGCCTCAGTTTTTTCTTCTGCAAAATGGGGTGATCATTTCTCCCTCATAGGTTGTTGTGAGGCTTAAAGAGTTACTATATATGTAAAGCATTCAGAACAGTGCCTGGTGTACAGTAAACATACCCATGTTAGTAACTGTTGCTAAAGTGGGTAAAAGAAGTTTGTTTCCTAAGTAGGCAAGAATTGTATTTAAAAGAGCAAGTAGCCCTGTCAACCCAAACAAATATGTTGCAAGAATAAATACAGAGGGCCAACCTTACAAAAGCAAATGTTTGACCTGAGATCTCCTTTATAGTTCAGCTTTTTTATTTGTTTCAAATTCTACATAATCAAACTGGTACCTGGGAAGTTTTAGTAATTTAATATAACTCCTCTAAAATATAATTATACTCTATAATCCCATGCCACTAGTTTCCTTAGTAAAGTCTTAGGGTCTGTCTTTAACCTATTTGTTGATTTAATATTTCCCTGTCTTTATTCTTCCCATAATCAGCAAACAAATCTATACCCTTGTTTAAATTATAAAGAAACATATAACTTAGTATATGTAGGTGGGGATCTCATAACTGGATTCAGAGAGTAGTTTTATTTATTTATTTATCTATCTATCTATCTATTTATTTATTTATAGACAGAGTCTCACTCTGTTGCCTGGGCTAGAGTGCCATGGCGTCAGCCTAGCTCACAGCAACCTCAAACTCCTGATCTCAAGCAATCCTCCTGCCTCAGCCTCCTAGAGTGCTAGGATTACAGGCATGAGCCACCACGCCCACCCTTAGAGAGAGTAGGTTTATTACCCAATTTCCCCCTGTCCCATATCCGTGCTTGCTAACTTGGAATTTAAAGTCTTTGGACTAACACTGAATCAAGAACTAATTCTAATATAAATGTATTCTCTTTGGAAGAATAATAATTCCAAATGGCTTCTGATTTTGCCCATGGCTGGAGCTAAAGTTTCATAGCTAAAATCACATCTGCAAACTTAAGCCCATTATCGAAAGTGAGGCACCACAAGAGCAGAAGAATAGGCTCCACTGTACTCACCATCAAATTGGTACTAACTGATCAACACTAGGGTGATCACATGGCAAAAATACTCTCCAGGGATTAGGGGGATGGGGAGGTAAATCCACAACTAAAGGACACGGGGAGCACTGTAGGGTGGGAAGGGCATGTCTTTAACCTGCACTTGGGTGAGGCAAAGTCATAAAGTGTAACCCTAATGTTTGTACCCTCACAATACCCTGAAAAAAAACAAAAACAAAAACAAAAACACCTGAAGACAGCTGTTGGGTGGAATTTTTTCTTTTTTATAGGCCTTATATTGGAATGGCTCAAATTTGAATTAAAGAATAATATAACACTTGCAAGGATATCTGATTTTTCACACTTAAAATGTGAGTTATAACTTCAAATTTCACATTGCATCTTTCCTTCTTGAGCAAACAGAATAGGCAGTTAGTAACAAATAGTTTTTAACCAGTTGTATTTCTCAGCACCAGTTACTATAATTGATTTATTAAGAAAAATCTATGAAGATCAAATTATAGCTTTTCCAGTAAATTCTTGGCTTTTTATTCCTGGTTTCTTTCAATAAGGCAACTTGCCTCCTGAAGACTGGTCCTAGCCATGTTTAACAGGGAGTAGATGATCAGAAGCAGCAGGAAGAAAAAGATTTGGAATGTAAAATAAAATGCAACATAAAGATGGTATAGAAAATGTTATCTTTCTTTCCTTTGAGTTATGCCTGGACAGGAACCAAAAATTGTCTCTCACATAGGACTTAAAGTAATAAAAGTTTAAATACAAAGGGTATAAAGTACTGAAGCTTTTTAAAAAAAATCTGTGACTTACCAGAGGAGGCTTATTAGTTTATAGTCATACTTTATAAGCATGTCACTTTTAAAGGAATCATTAATATTTGCACGACTCGGGATATTCTGAATATAGGTTGGTTTTTAAAATAAAGACAGTCATCAATTCATTCTTATTTTCTGTGAGACCATTGAGGGGCAGGTTTCACTATATAACTTTTATTTCCCTAGTAAGGAAAAAACTAGAGCTAGAATGAAATGGGCAACTTACCTAGTTTTCTTCTTCTAATTGATTAGCTTTCTGTCAAATTATACTGCCTGTGTATGTAGAATTTCGGAGTTTGTTTTTGTTTTGGTAACAATTGAAATAAGAGAGGATCATCTTATAGTAGAGCTTCGATTCCATCTAGATTGGTGTTTTTCAGATTTACAGGACACAATCCCTTAATGGTTCATGGAACCACTTTAGGCGGCTTAGGTGTCCAGCATTAAAAAAAAAAAAAAGTAATAGAAGTGTGCCTTGTATATAATAAGGATTAGTATTGTTTTATGATACTTTATTTTGGCATATATGCATATATATGAATGCAGACATATCTGTGGAAGTCAGCAGTATTCAGCACCCAGGGGGCTCCGGGCAGCAGGATGGTGATTAGGGTGAGTCAAGCAAGGTGAGGCTATGTACTTGCATGGTTGGAGCCTGCCTGTTTGCAATTTTGATATTTTGTTCATCGTGGATTTTTTGCATTAATTTCAATTTTTTAAAAAATACTGCATTAAAATATTATGCTGACTACTGTGTTATTTTCCCCTCTTAAATTTTGCACCCAAAATAAGTGCCTTCCCTGCCTCTCCCTAGCCCTGGCCCTGATCAGAATGTTTTACCGAGGGAGTGGAGGGTGCTGGGGCGTGGGGAGCCTGTGAGGCGGCGGCACACGTGAGGACGAGGAGTTGACCATGTGTCTGTCTTCTTTCTCTAGGAAGCAGACAGGAGGTGAGGTCTTCAGAGTGAGGGGACAGAAGCTGGGAGAGGGGGAT